GAGAGAGAGAGAGAGAGAGAGAGAGGAGCCAGAGGGAGAGGAGGGGGGAGAGGAGATCTGTTGCAGGCAGGGAAGGCGTGACCTGAATGGAGAATGCCAGCCAATTCCAGAGACACACAAGGACTTCAGAACAAAGATAAGGCATCGCTGACACCACACCGGGGACGCGCTCATAGACAAGTCGGACAGAGGGGACCAAGGCCAGGCGGCCAGGAGCACGCGGTGCAGGACAATGAGGTGAGTGCCGGGGCAGGAGAGGGCACCGCTCCCTTTCGGAGACCAGCTGTCCAGCAGTGGGGAGAGTCTGACCTTGTCTCCCCGCAGACTCACCTGCGCGTCTTGTGGGAGGTTGTGGTGTTTCTCGGCAACCCTTGGGGCTCTGCAAAGGGAGCTGTGGCCATGCTGGGTGCCTTTCCTGGGACTCCGGAGACGTGCAACTTGAAACAGGAGAGTTTGTGCAAATTCTGCTCCCGTCGCTGCTGAAGCTCAGATTTCGCCTTCTGCCAGGACAGCGTGCTCGCTGCCTGCTGGCCAATGTGGCTGTCCTCCTGGTGCCCGCAAAGCTGCTTTTTCATTCTCCCCTCTGCAAAGAGCATTGATTTCTCTCTCCAGATACTTTGAGAGTTAGATGTGTGTTTGTGTGTTTATTTGTTCTGACCGGAAAAAGAAACCAGCTTTCCACCGTCCAGCTTTATGGTTTCTTAAACCTTCAGAAGTTTGCCAGTTAAACCTCAATTTAGAAAACTAAAAACCTGTCCCCATTTTATAGTTCCCTGTAAATTTCTGCATTTCTTCCTGAAATCAGAGGCAGCTGGTGACACGAATCAAGCTATGAATTGTACCAAATGGCTCTTAAAGGGATACCGCCACAATTTTTTTTTTAAAGTAGCAGTTGGAGTTCTGGGACCCAGGACTTTAAATTTCACTTGGTTTGAAGAGCTCCAGATATTCTTTACAAGGTTTTCTTTTTCCCCTTGCAGGTCTGAAAACTCACTCTAATGATTTCTATTATATATAAGTGTTACTGTTGTAGAAACACCCAAAGTGGGGGGAAAGAACCTTGCACCTCTTTTCCTGTCATTTTTTTTCTTTAAATTGGGAGTGCTCCTGTTTGTTCTGTTCTGTAAACTTCACTTAGCAACTTTGCTGAGGTGGGGGTTGACGCAAAGCTTCAGGCTATATATGTCTCTGAATTCCAGTCACCTGTGGTTTCAGAACAATGATCGAATCCTTAAATCTAACTCGGACTTTCAGCTATTTTAAACCTACCATCCACCTTCATTTTGTCTTCCCTGAGAAAAATGGCCCTTATGCCTACCTACATAGATGACAACCTGATTCACCCCTAAAGGATCAGACTCTGACTGTGTTGCTCAGTGTGCCAGACAGCGAAACTATAGGACTAACGGTCCTGTGTCTTTGCGTAGGTTTATCCTTTGACCTGGAGCAACCCTCTTCTTCCCCCTAGATGTGTTTATTCCAGCCAAGTGCAGTACACTCTCTTTCCCCCTGATTTCCTCCCCTGGAGGTAGCTTCTCCTCCTTTGTTCTGTTCTGTTCCTTGTAGCTACATCCTTTATCGCCTTCGGAACACCTCTTTATTTAAGTATCAATGTGTTCATCTTGTATAACCAGCCGCTGACACTGACATAATGGCTACTTTTCTGCGGGACATTTAGTAAATATTGTTTTAATTGCCGAATAGCAAAGCAAGTGCTTTGCTAGAAAAGTCTCTAAAAGGTCTTGCCTCACAAGCATACACCAGTGCAGAGTCTGGAGAGAAATTTTATGGGCATTGTCTCATCTAGCCTTCAGATTTTTGATGAAGTTAAGTTTGGATGGATGAGTGAGAATAAAATATGGTAAGCAACTTCCCAAAGCCGTACTGACAGACTTGAGTCTCTGGGCTTCAAGGACGGCATCTTTGCTATGATATTTCACTAGACTGGCTGATGAATAAGCTGTTGAACCGCGGTAATTTTTAAAATGCCAAGGCCCAGGCCTCACCCGATGTCAGTTAAACCCAAATCTCCTGAGGAGGGGCTCACGCATTATTATTTTTTAAATTTCCACATAAAGCCATGGCTTTCAAAATTATTTTTCACAGGATTAATTGCTTTGGCCAGATGCCTGGGCATGATATGGGCATGGACCCAACTTCTTCTGTGAGCTTTTGTTATCTTCCTCTTCTGTTGAAGTTACTTTCCCATATGGCATTGGGCATAATGTGACATCTCTCAGGGTATCTTTTCATCATCTGTCAAGCAAGGGTGCTGTGCAAGAAAGCTAGAGAGTCCCTTCCAACTCTTAGACTTCAAAATGGTGTCTCGGTGTTGTGTGAGCTGAAATGAGGGAAGTGAATGGGGATGCTAGAAATCACTATTCATTGCAAAATCGTTCGAGGTCTACACAGGCATCTGAGGCATTTTTATGCATAGAGTCCTACAGTGGAGCTTCTGAAATCCCAGCTCTATATATTACTCTGACATTTCAAGCAAATGTAGCTAAACTTTTTGATTAGCTGGAGGATAGATAACAGGTGTCAGGAATCGTACAGCCGGTGCCTGGTGTAGAAGAAGCCAAAAATATTCAGAACATGATGAGGAATGAAAGCTGCCACTTATAGTCTTCGATTTACAGCCCTTAAAGCAAGGAAGCAAGCAAGCATATGCTCGAGCCCATTATGTGAAAGGAGATATTTGGCTTATATGTTTGAAAGTGTTTCAAGGCACAAACAGAGAACAGAAAGCTTCACAGGCCTTCTTCCAACACTGACCAGTTGCCTGCTACTCATGGCACTGGGCCTTGGGCTCAATGGACCAGCCAGCTGACAGCCCTTGATAGGCTCAGAGTCTCCTGGCTGTGCTCTGGAAAAAGCAGACATGGAGAAAGTTGACCTTTCAGCCTTGCATAATCTTTTTGTCTCTATTGCAGGGAAGACCATTTAAAGAGCCAAAGCTCACTCCTAACTCCTGGTTTTTGGGAAGCAGCAGGATGGAGTAATCGCAAATAATGTTTGCCTAGAGCTGTACATTTAACAAAGTACTTTCTAATGCTTCTGTGGGTAGCGACCCTGTGGGAAATCCTTACTGTTACCATAGCAGAGATGAGGGCATCAAAGGAGGCTTTCCACGCCTTCTCTAAAACGATAGGATAAATAAAGTCAAGGCCGCTAGTTGAGTCTGCTCTCCATTCTTCAGCCTGGCTGAACCTGAACTCCTAGCCCTGTTAACATGGTGCATTTCTTCACTTGGAAATGGGGCTGCTGGGCCCCATGAGTCAGAGCCTCTAGACTCAGTTTTTCTACTAACTCCCTGGATAACTTGGACCCATGCCTTCCCTTCTCTCTGCCTCTAAAGCCTTCCTCCACAGATTGGTTTAAAAAATATTGACATTGGCTACTGTATTAAAACATTTTGTTTTCTTAGCAACACCCCACATGTTGCTATTGTAGGGGCCCTGGAAAAAATTTAAATAAGTTTATTTTCTTTTTATTGAAAAAATAGTACACGGTCTTTCTAGACAAACAAGCACTTTATGTACACAAAACTAAAAATATTCATTTCCATTTCATAGACAACCACGGTTAATACCATGGTGTATGCCTTTCTAGACTTTTTTATATTTATCTATTTACCTTTTATGTGAATAGTACAAGAAATAGCTGAATAATTTAAATATATTCTATTCTGCTGTGTTTAGACACTCAGAAATTCATATGTAAGCACACATAAATATGCATTTGAGTACAGGGGAGAAGATATTGACAGGGGAACAACTTTCTGATTAGCAAAGATATAACAATTCAAAAACACTAGTATAGCTCCCCACCCAACATTGACTTTTTATGCAATTTTAAGACTCTAGCCCCACTTTCATTCATTCATTCATTCACTCATAATCTATTAGATACTAGACTCTGTTACATCCTTTACATGCATCGTATCTGATGTGCATAAACCTCATAAATTAGGGATTCTAATCTCCAATTTATTTTTTTCTCACTGAGTTTATTGGTCCATTTTATGTATACAGTACAGTTACATTCATCATTGGGATCTTGTACCTTTACATGACAGGTCTTGGTTCTCATTTTTTTCCCCTTGTCCCTGCCCTCCTTTCACCCCTCCTCCCCTCCCCCTTTACAAACACTTCATTTCCATTTTTTAACTTTATCATATTTTCCCCTTATTAGCTTTCCCCTACCCTTCCCACTTTCCCTGCACCTTTAGCCCCTTTCTTCCTGTTTCATATTATTAATTTCCAATTTATATACAAGGAAACTGAAGCTCAGAGAACCTCATTGCAGGACTTTTCACAGCCCTAAGTGGAAGAATTGGGATTGAAGCCAAATACATTAGACTTCAAGTCTGTGCCTCATGCAATACAGCGTGACAGGTGCACTAACAGAGATGTGTGTGGGGAGCTGTGGAATCAGGGCTTTACAGCCCAGGGAGCTTTGCTTTGGATAGGGAAGGATAAAGAAGACACCAGCAGGTGAAGGATGGGCTCATGGGCAGTGGTGACAAGGCATGAGCGGAAGTGGTGTGGCCGGAACTAAGAGGGACTTGAGCAGATCACCACTGGCCTCATCAGCCATACAGGGAGCAGATATTTCCCCTGCAGCTATGGTACAATCAAGCAACATGGTTATATCTGTGTTTTAGAAGGCCCACCTTGGCAGAAGATTGCTGAATGGTATAACGGGGAAGGGGAAAGTTAGGCTGCTATAGCAATATTCTAGATCAGAGGGATTAAACTAAGTACTTGACTGGAGATGAGGTGGATTTCCAGAGCCTAGGAAGTAGAATCAGTAGGACTTGGTGACTATTACACAAGGTATAATAGGAAAGGGGAAGGGTAAAATTAGCAAACTGATAGATGGTTAAAAAAAAAATTTTTAGAAATCAGAAATGAGATAGTGAACTTATTAGGAGAGAAGTTGATGAGCCAAGTTTGAGATGTTTGACCCCAAGGCCCCTGGATCTTATAAGGGAAGTGTGACATGTTAGATCCTGGTGTGCTGCTGTTACTGACCGCTGGGGCTTTAGTCAGCCTTGATGGCTGTGCCTCATTATTCCATCATCCACATTTGCCATATTCTGTAAGTTTTACTAAGTTTCCCTTGCTTTCTTTTGCAACTGTTTTAACAATCCATTATTCTTCATTTCTCCAGAAATGAATTACAGGCTTTTTGACCTTCACATTAAGACACTTGCCAAGAGGAAAGAAGATTTGTTTTGCTCATTCTGTCTTTATTCAAGATTTCACATGCCTTGACTGATGTTGCGGTGAAATACTTTCTTTAACAAGTTAAAAATGCTTGAGGTTGGCAGATCCTAACACTGAGTATTAATCTCATATTATTGTTACTCATCTTTTAGAAAAATGCATGATTTATGATTCATAAATAAAGCTGAAATGAAGAAATGATACCAGATTTTACCTAGCTATAAATTTTCTACTTTTAGTAGTAAAGTAAGCCAGGGATTTAGCTCAGAGGTGCCACCATCTGCCTCAAAAGTGCAAGGTCCTAAGGCCAGGGATTTAGCTCAGTGGTTCTGGCACATGCCTCACAAGTGCAAGGACCCGAGTTTGATCCCTGGTACCAAAAAAGAAAAAAAGTGCAAAGTCCTGAGTTCGATCCCCTGTACCAAAAAGAAAAGACCTCATCAATAGTAAAGTAAAATATGTCAGAGTCTCAAATGTGGTACTTTCTCGAAAAGTTTAAAACTCTTAGCAAATCTTCTAATCACCAAACCTGGAAGAAATCTTATCAGTCATATACTGATTTCCTCTCGGGTTACAGACTAGGTAGACAAGGCCCAGAGAGGAAAAAGTCATCACAGAAGAAACACTGAGAACTTGGTCTCCTGGCTGCAGATCCAGTTAGGTGTTGGCGATCGGTGTCCATGAATGTAAGCACATCCACGCTCATATCTTTCAGGTGGCTCCTCCTCTGTCTAGTTCTGTGCTTCTCCCTGTTGAACGCTTCGAGCCACACTGTGGAGCTAAATGATATGTTTGGCCAGATTCGGTCACCTGGCTATCCTGACTCCTATCCAAGCGACTCAGAGGTGACTTGGAACATCACCGTCCCAGAAGGATTTCGGATCAAGCTTTATTTCATGCACTTCAACTTGGAATCATCTTACCTTTGTGAATATGACTACGTGAAGGTGAGACCCCCAACGTTTCCTAACTGAGCCAGGCTCTCTGCTAGGAATTGGACACTGACCCTACCTATCCTTGTAGGCTTATGTTTAGAGGTATGGATGTGATGAATGAAGACCAGGAGTGGTATGTCAAGTTCTAGCTGAGTAAGTAGAACTAGGAAAGACAATGGGAGGAACTGGTGGTATGGGACAGGTGGTACTGACTCAACCAAGTAAAACATTTTTTCCTTTCTCTTCTCAGGACTAGAGTATAAGTCAGTGGTAGAGCACTTGCTTTGCATACCTGAGCTCCTTGGTTTGATGCTCATAACAGGGAAAAAAAAATCTTTTTGTTCTCAAAGTTTGTAATGTCTCTACTAGCTTTTGCTTGACAGTCCCAATGACCACAGAGTATGCCACAGTCAAACAAATAGTGCCACAAGCATGGCCCCAAACTGAGATATGAGAAAGCTCTTCCCAATTCCACAAATAATAATCAAGACTTTGGGAGATGTTGGGTTACCCAGTAATTGACAATTGGAAGGGAGGGTTGAATGTGATTCTGAAAGGCCTTGAATATCACATGAAGGAATTTGTATTTTATCAGCAAAGCTCATGTAGAGGAAGCAAAATTCACTGTCTGAATATGGTAGGGGAAAACAAGAGAATAATATGACATACAAACAATGGTCCCTGAAATTTAGGGAGAACCCACAAAAAATGCTGGGGGTGAGAAGCTGTTCTCATTTTCAAGTGGGGCTGAAAATAATCAGAGAATTCTGAAACCAAGTTTATTAAGGTTTTAGCTACTTCAGAAAGATGTAGAGAGCCAAGAACATACTTTCTGAGCTCGCTCTCTGGCTTCCTGGATGAGGTTTCCATCCAATAAATCCAGAGCTGCCCTTGTATGTTTTTAATACTAATATAGTCTCATTTTCCAGTGATTCAGAAAGAGCTAAACATGTGTTAACGAGAATATCTAGTCTAAAGCAGTGTTATAAAATGCTTTTAACACTTTTAACCTCATCTAAACTATACATAAGTCCTATAAGACAGAAATAACTATCTCACTTCAATGCAAAGGAATAAACCTGGGAAAGGTTAGAAACTCCCCAACATTGTACAGCTGGGAGGTAGTAGATCAAGGTTACAAATGCTTATCTTGTGGCTTTGAGTCTCACGTCCATTGGCCACACCAAACATCTCTGAACCTATGTGCCACTGAGCCTGAGAGGCTCACAAGGACACAAGCAAGAGAAGACGTGTTAAGGCCACAGCCCCCCACCCTGCTTCTGTTAATTTTATGCGAAGTGTGTTGCCAATGAACGTGTTGGGCCCACATGAAATAGCCACAGTGCGCCATGTCAGGATCCCTCAATTTCAGCTCCATTGACATTTTGAACCAGATAATTCTTTGCTGATGAAAGTTGTCTTAAACATTGTAAAATATTTAGCAGCATGCCTTGCTCCTACATATTAGACGCCAGTGGCATCTCTCTTCCAGTTGTGACAACTGAAAATGTTTCCAAACATTGGCAGCATCCCAGAACCACTGCTGTATGAGGTGCTGCCCTTCTCTGAATGCTCTGTGCTGGGGATTATGGGACTATTGGGATTCATAAGACTTGGGTGCCTTACAAAGATGGGCGAGCATGGTCTCTCAGAGTTACAAAGGTACAGTCTACTTGAGGCAATTCATCGGTTAAGCTACTGATTCCTTTGGAAAGGGGGATCAATGCAGGATAGTGGATCTGTATAGCTGTCTCTTGTGGAAGACTATTCTAGCATCTGCATGAGCCCCTAGGCAGAGGTTCTGGCATCCAAGGGGCCTGAGCAGGTCTCCCTTCAGAGAATTCCAGGTCCTGTGCCCTTGTCCACGCATACCCAGCAGAGTTGCCCTCCAAAAGTCAAAAACACACAAGGCTGCAGGCCTGAAGACTCATCTAGTCATAAGTGATCATTATTGTTTTTTCCCATAATTTCTCCCTAGTGAACATGTTTTCACAACCCTTCAGTTAGGTGCAATAGAGAAAAGAGATAGTAGCTGCTCAAGTTAAAGGTGACCCTGAAGCTCCCTCTGCTTGCTCGCCTTCCTTGGTCACCACTCTGCAACATCTTGAGGCATCATGGCCAGAATTTTGCCACTCTGGTCAAGATACCACAGGATGGAAGAGGAGATTGAAGGCCAAAGATCAAGGACAAAACTAGCAGTCTGCTTCAGAACTCCCAAATCCAGAAGCCTCACAGACAGAGTTGAAACCTGAGTGCTTTTGATAATTGCCTTCCCAAACACAACCCACAGATATGTGCTTTTTCTGGCTCAGAATAAGAAAGATGCTCTTCTCTTTCCATCTGAATTAAAGTGCAAGCATGACATGTGACTCCAGGCTAAGTCAACCCTGCTCTCCAAAATTCTGTTTCATCATTAGTTCAGTGAGAAGGTAAGCTGAGCTGATCCTGAATATTTCTTAAATTCCATAATTCTAATCCAGGGTCTCCGTACCAAAATTTTCCAGATAACCCCACCAGACCCACATTATCCTATTTAAGATGGTCTCAGAAAGTGTAAATAATGTGTTTATAACAACCAATTCTCAAAGTTTCATGGCTCCAAGCCCTCCAATTAGAGCCTGCCATCTACCATAGATGCCTTGGTGACTTATGATTTGCATAGAGTTTGTTAACATATCATGCCACCACTGTCCTTCACCACGAAACTTTAATATTACCAACTTCCCTTTGGCAGGATAACCTCTCTTGTTCTGAAGCCTTTTCACTCCATCACTGACTTCCCCTGGCAGGTTTAAAGAAACTTCCATATCACAGAGGCCCTCGCCAGTCCACAAATTGCTCTCTCTACCCAGGCCCATCACAGTGCCAGTTTATATCAGTAGCTTAAAGAATAGCAGGACCCCAAGGCTCTGAACCCCATGATCATATTTACTAGAATTCCTCTATGATCTGATTTCCTGTAGTCCTTGGTCTTCAAGGCACGTGCACATCTGTGCAGCAGCATCTGCTTCTGTGGAATGTGGCTTCAATTGTGGATTCCTGCAGAGCACAGATGAGGCATGTGAACCACATCTGGTTGACACTACAAGCAAAGAGTACAGTACAGTCACGGTCAGGGAGTGGGGAAGACTAGTTCCTCGTTGTCATTCTATGCTAAATAACCTTAGGCAAAGAACTCCTTTTAGAAGGGACTTGGTTTCTTCCTCTGTCAAATACAGCTTCTGTAGATAGATGGCTTATAACAGGGGAAACCAAACCCTCCCACCACCCCTACTGCTCCCCACACAGGAAGAAGTAAGCAGTGGGTGAAGCTTCATCTGTATTTATAGCTGCTTCCCACTGTTTGAATGACTGCCTGAGCTCCAACTCCTGTCAGATGAGCTGTGACATTAAATTCTCATAGGACCATGAACCCTACTGTGAACCTGTGAACTGTGCAAGCAAGGGATCTACATTGCATGCTCCTTTGAATCATACTGAAACTACCAACCACCCCCCCAACCCCTGGCTGGGGGAAACATTGTCTTCCATGAAACCAATCCCTGGTGCCAAAACAGTTAGGGACAACTGGTAACCCTGATATTCTGTGCATCTGAGACCTTAGAAGTGTAGGAAGAGCTCCATCATCAGAATTTCCAGAGCTCAGAGAGGGTACTTCATTGGCTAATATCACACTGGGACATCTCAAAATTCTCAGTCTTTTCCTCTTTTACATAAAGTAAACTACAGTACCTTCCCAAGTTGTAATACAAGGCAAATATTGGCAATGGTCAAACCCACTCTTAAAAGTTCCTTAAATATAGTAAAATACTATCTTTTCATGTGCCCAGCAGAGGCACTATTTTCCCAGAAATATAACAAATTACAGTTCCTTTGTTTGAATATAGATGAAGTAACTGACTTAGAAAGGAGCCGTGAAAGAAAATTACAGAAATAGTTGTAATTTATTAGAAACCAGGACCCCAAGGAGAACAGCACAGTCACACATCCTACCTTCAAGTTCACTTCATGACATCTGCTTATTGACCAAGAAGGCATGAGCCACCTGTATTCAGTTTTTATTCTCTCTCCCATTGTGTGCAAAAACTTAAACTGCCTCTGTTAAATGTTCATATCATACACTGCTACTATCCAGTTAAACCTATGTCTTTGATGCACCCAGTATTTCCTCTATCTTTTCCACTGGTGATGCCTTTGTTTCCATTCTGATCTGTCTCAATCTACTGCAGATACCTCCTAAATGTCTACCAAATTCCAATCTCTTCACATTAGTCCACCCTCTCCATATACACTGCTTGGGTTGTGTCACTCTTCAAATCTGTCCATGGCTGCCCATTTCCTAAAGAATAAAGGCCAAGAATTCTATTGCAAAAACTGTCATAAGCTGAACACTGTACCCAAACTGGTCCCACAGAGGTGAGTAAGATAGTTTTGTCCCCCAATAATTCACAGTTTCATAGTATGTAACGAGACAATTGCATATTCAGTCAATTGCAAACAAAGTAACACAAGGGACATAAGGCAAATTATACAATCGAGAGTGGTTATTTCTCCATCTCCAGGAAAGGTGATGTTGAAATGAGTCTTGAAGGATAAGTAAGCACTCAATAGTGTGATTCCTTAGATGGGATGTCTCATCAGAGTTACCATGGTGTGGAGGCCAAGAAGGATAAATGACATGCAGTGAGAGAATAGCCAAGATTGGCATGGTTTAGGGAGATATAAGAAAAAAGCCTAGAAAGATCATCTGGGAAAGTAGTAAGATGTTTGGAAAATTTGTATTTAAAAGTGAACACCCAAAGTCAAAAACAAGTGATCAATGGATTGAATTAATTCTGCAGATAAATTTTGTTGGTCGGCCTTAGCATTGCATCATTCTATACTTTGAAAAAGTAACAAGCAAAATGAATTAATTCAGCATAACACTTGTGATCTCACACAAAAATCTACACATCCAAATTTTATTAGAAAAGGTGGCATCTCTGGCAGCTTCTTGTATGCCAATAATTAAG